AGACAATCCTTGTAAAAGACAACTTTTGTGAAATTCTGTTAGAACCAGCATTGGAGGAAAAAATCCATCATTTCTCAAATGGACCATTGGTAGTAGGTGATAAAATTATAGATGTTCTGTCATTAGTTTTATTTGGTGTCTGATATGCTTTCTTATGGAGAAGGAAATGGCAACCCACTCCAGTACTCTTGCCTAGAGAATCCCCTGGACAGAGGAGCCTGGTGGGCTGCTGTCCCTAGGGTCGCACAGAGTCAGACACAACTGAAGCAACGAAGCGACTTAGCATGCATTGGAGAGGAAGTGGCAACCCACTCCAGTGTTCTTGCCTGGAGAATCCCAGGGACAGTGGAGCCTGGTGGGCTGCCATCTGTGGGGTCGCACAGAGTCGGATATGACTGAAGCGACTGAGCAGCAGCAGCATGCTTTCTTGAAAAGATGCAGCAGTGATTCACAAATTCTTGAAGAATAAACAAATATAATTTCTATTTTCATATAGTTTTATGTAAAATATATATCATATATTGTTTTTAGGATGATAAAATTATTTTTTCTTCTCTCATTTGGAATTTGAAATTAATGTTTTCTGCCTATCTTGTGAAATTTTTTAAATCTTGGAAATTTAGTGTTTGGCTCTGTGTGCTAGGTAAGTTGAAAAGAGAATGCCTAGTGAGAGGTTGGTAGAACCTACACAAGAGCTCTATAGGGCCGCTTTGACTTTATAGGGACAATGGAAATTATAGAAACAGCTTCTCGAGTTTGAGCCATCAGTCTTCTACCCTCTGAGTCTCAAATGAGGACCCTTTGTAGATGTAGGTATTTAAGGGAGTTAAAATGCACAGCTCTTATGAAAAAGATAGAAAGGGCTTGTGCCATTATATTTTAGCTGATTCGGTCATTCATTTATTCACTCACCATCAAATCTTCATTGAGTGCCCACAGTGTGCCTGGTGTTCTGTAAAAATATTTCTTGACAGAGTAACTTCTTTCAAGGGATTCAAGTGGTTTGATTTATTGTACATACCCATCAGAAGCCATTTAAACCATAAGATCTTCAACCTTTATTTTTTAATTTTTTTTTTTATTCCATCCCTCCTTTTTTTTTCTTTTTTTTTTAATTTTTTTTTTCCATTTATTTTTATTAGTTGGAGGCTAATTACTTTACATCATTGCAGTGGTTTTTGTCATACATTGAAATGAATTAGCCATGGATTTACATGTATTCCCCATGATCTTCAACCTTTAAATTGAGTTAAATTTGGGACTTAGCCTGGCCAATAAACAAAGATGGGGAGCTGATGATAATATTCACCTTCCTAGGAAAGAAATATGCCATCCTCTGCTTCCCTTCCCCTAGAGGCAGAGGATACTTGTGTCTCTCTTTCTGCAGAGTGGGAGTGGTGATGTTCCTGCCTCACCTAATTGAGGGAGAGTATATGTGTGTGCTAAGGTCAGTAGAGATGGGAGCTTTCTCCGAGGTCATTGCAACCTCTATGAAAGAGACCACCCACATAGGGAAGAGCTACACACACATACACACACACATACCACCTCTCCTGTGATGGGTGTGGACATAGCATCCTGCAGGGCCATGGAGATTGACAGGGGCTCTGGGAAGGTTTGGGCCTGGAGAGAATGCCAGGTATCAGTTCAGTTCAGTCACTCACTCAGCTGTGTCCGACTCTTTGCAGCCCCATGGGCTGCAGCACGCCTGGCCTCCCTGTCCATTACCATCTCCTGGATCTTGGTCAAACTCATGTCCATTGAGTTGGTAATGCCATCCAACCATCTCATCTTCTGTTATCCCCTTCACCTCCTGCTTTCAATCTTTCCCAGCATTAGGGTCTTTTCAGATGAGTCAGCTCTTTGCATCAGGTGACCAAAGTATTGGGGCTTCAACTTCAGCATCAGTCCTTCCATTGAATATTCAGGACTGATTTCCTTCAGTATGGACTGGTTTGATCTCCTTGCAGTCCAAGACCTCTCAAGAGTCAGGGATGGACTCAGAAGCTTAAGGCAGCGCTGGTGTGGACCCAGTGTGGACCCATATCAGACCTGAGGCTTGACGATGAGGGTCACTACAATTTATTGCTCACACACTTATAAAATTATTGTGGCAGAATATCAAGCAGGAATGCTCTTGTCGGTAAAGGGGTACCATTAATAATGCTGGGACACCCAAGCTCTGAGGGTAAACTGAGGCAAGTGGTTACTTTACCTGCTGACCCTTGTCTTTTTCAGTTGCCTGTCTTGTTTCTGCTCTCTCCTTTTCTTGCTCGGTACATTCAGACCTTGTTGGACGCACGTGGCTTGGCACAGCGTAGCTGAAGCTGTGTGGGTTGCTGGGTTCAGAGAGTCATGGTGTGTAAATAGTATGGTGTGAAACCATACACATGGCTCCCATCAAAGCTTTTAGACAAAGAGGCCATGTGACATTATGTTTGTAACATATACATGTGTTTGTATAATCACACAATTTATTTATCTATGTAAACATTATTTCTTACATATGAGGACATTGTGCACAGAGAGATCAATTTCTGAAGCTAGGTCTCTGTCACCAGATAGTAGCAGAGATAATTCCCACCTCTCCTTTAGACATTGTTTTAAAACTATGTTTATAGAGAATCATGTTTATTTGATAATTTTGATTATCAAAATTTCAGAAGTTTAATGATCAAGTGATATGCCTTCTTCAAGATGCTTATTAGTTCTGGAAAGGTAGAGAAGTATGTCTAAAAAAAAAAGTGATTTGAAGTTTAAAAAGAGGAGGAGTAAGGTGTAAAACATGGTATTGTATAAAATACTTAAAGAACCTTTTTGAATGTTTGCATGTTACTGGGAAGTGACAGTAAAGGTGAGGAAGCTGCTTTTGAAGAGATTCTATCGAGTGAATTTCTTGACTCTCCTGCTGTGTGCCTGCACGTTGTGGGGTGCACAGAGAAGGTCTGTTAGATTGTCAGTGGTGCTCACCGCAGTGATGGCAACATTAAAAGCACATTTGCAGAACACAGCCAGTGGATCAGATTTCTTGCCCGCTCCTGTGTGTACCTGGCATTGTTGTATTCACAGATAAAGTGATCAGCCTCTGCATTTAGAATTTTCACTCTTTAGAAGCAAACAGATCATATACTCGATCAAGGATGCTGATGCCAAATTCCAAAAGGAAATTTGAACACAGTGTTTCAGAATTTGTAGGAATTAGGAAGACAAGAGAGGACTGGGGAGAAATCCAACAGGGAAGAGTAGAAGGAAACCATTAGAAGTGTTGATTTTGGCTTTTTTATCTAGTTAGTTTTGCTATTTTACCTTTTTAAAAAAAATAAAAAAACTCTTGCTGACCTCATGTCTTTTCACACCTCTCATTATGCCTTATGATGAAGAGGCAGTAACCACGAAGCAGGAGACTTTAAGGAAACAAGTGGTCACTGCCCATCAATTTTTATTTCTTTCCGCTATTTACATTCGTAGCACCACGATTACTGTTTTCAGTGAAGACCCAGTTATTTAAAAAAAATATTACACTTCTTTTACAAAGGTGAGGGCATAGGTAACACGTTTTTCATTCTAGGAAAGGTGGTTATTCTTCCTAACTTTGTTCCAGAGAGCCCAATGAAACAGGAATTAAATTGGATTTCCTGTGTATATCTTTACTGGTTTAGGCTTGCATGTACAGTATTCCATTTTTCTGTTTGAATACATTTTTTTCCATTTTACTTGAAATAGGACCCAGTGGGATATTATGAGTTACCATGTATGTAAACTTCATTAGTCCCTCTTTAAAGAGAAAAGAAATTCCTCCCTTGTTTACTGTTCTTTAACTCATCCCCCTTTTTTTTTTGCCACACTATGTGGCATGCTGGGTCTTAGTCCCCTGACCAGGGATCAAACCTGTGCTCCCTACTTTGGGAGCTCAGAGTCTTAATCACTGGACCACCAGGGAATTACCCCCTGCCATTCGCTATTATTAAAGAAACATCATCTAAAATTTACTCATGGTCTGTTGTGTATATTTATCAGTTGCTTTTGGCCAATATTAAATGAATTTGGGTCATATTTTCATATAATGTATTATTTGCATTTATAGAAAATGTTAAATGTCACTATTGAAAAGGTGCATTATACCTTATTTCTTGAACGTTTAGTTTAAAACAACTCTAATGCTTTTCTTTTAAAAAAGGTTTTAGAGACATCATCAGACCTTTGAGGCCCAATGTCCCCTGTCTGCATGCCTCCCGTGCCTCATTCACACTTTAAACACAGCCAGAGGTGTAGCTAAGTCATCCTGTTCTTCTTGACATAGTCATTATTCTTATGATAAAAATGGTGCAGCTGATGCTTATATTAATTTCAGACTTTTCAGCTTGGCTGGGGCATCATGTTGTTTGACACCTTTCAAGACTCCTTATGAGAAAGAAGCAAATAATCACAAAGCAAGGCATTTTAAGAAGTCATGAAAAAGTGGGACTGAACATAGCACACTTTGATCATAGAGACAAAATGGGCCAGTTTTTGGACTGGGGTTGATCAAAAGCATACTCTCTGTATGTGTAATCAGATGGTTAGTTAACACTTTCTCAGTAAAAATATAACATGAGTTGTAGGAAGAATATACATCATTTCAAAATCATAGTTTGTTTGGTTTTTTATTTTATTTTATTTTATTTTTTAATTTTATTTATTTTTTTTCCATTTGTTTGTTTGGTTTATGTCTATTATACCAGTATATTTCTCATTTGTAGTCTTTCTATCCAGTCAGTCTCGTTATAACTTACATATCAGGAGGTTTAAATGTTTTAAAAGGATTTCTTTTTTTACTGTTACTGCTGGGGGATTAAAGCAGAAGAAAAAGTTAAATCTGCTTTATATAGGTCCTGATACATGAATGTTGACAATGTCTTATCATAAAATCTTATCAACACTTTATTGGGACCGTTGAGTAATGGTGACCTGATAACAGTAACAACAGCTATAGAGAGAATAATGTCTTTTTTTTTTTTTAGATTTGTAGCCAAACCATGTGCCATAGCCCTCAATATTCAGGCCAATGGACCACAGATTGCCCAGCCAAATGCCATTCTGGAAAAGGTCTTCACTGCAATTACAAAGGTATGATTGTCCTTTTCTGGGATATGAATTGTTATGACCACAATTCTTAGTCTGAAATCATTTAATTCCCTCTCTGTGGAGTTTGAGAACTAACATTTGACTAGCCTCAGGCCTGAATGCATGGAAGGCTCACAGGCACTGTGACTAAACAGAAAGGGAGAAGCCAAACCCACGTGGGCATGTTGGAGGCCTGTGTGTTCACTCCCAAGTGTATGTGAGAAACTTGGCCATGAAGCGCAGTCTAGATCAGACGGTGAGGGCACTAATTCTCTGCATCAGTCTCACCGGACGTGAAGCAGTATGTATGTATGATGGTGGGGTGGGACTCTGTGGAGGCGACTGGGGGAGCTGAGGAATATGATGAATGTAGCTGTGAGGAGAAGTGCCCATGTGCTTACGGAGTTGTCCGTATGGTCTAGCAGTTATGATACACAGGCCGATGTGAACAAACATGGGAACGATGGAGGGAAAGAAGGACTGTCATATGAAGCCATGAAGAGCGAGGGTGCAGAGAGTTACAAAGTACAGATTCACTGTAAAGAAAATGGGAGAGGCGATGATCACTCTGGTGAGAGTTAAAGTCCAAACCAGGTGGAAAGAGGTGAGCAGGGGAGAGAGGAAGAATGTAGAGGAAAGATTGTCATCCACTGTCAGCTGGTCTCTCCTTCTGAACAAAAAGAGGAGGAAGAAGACAGACATCAGAAACCCTCAAGTGAAGGCCGTGAAAATGCAAGTCACAGCATTGGAATAGCTTATTCTTACTTAAGTCTCTCTCTCACCTTACTCTTTCATGGAAAAGAAAAGAGAAGCATAACAGTCTGTGAGAAATATTGTGCGTTTGTATATTAAATGGTTTGTTTTCCTGCTTTCATTTTTCTGGGAGAATTTCTCAGGCTTCTAAGATGTGATTTGACCATGTTAAGCAAATTTTATTCCTTTTTTGGTATTTGTATTGCTAACCATTTTTATTGGTTCTCTCTTGTTGTAAAATAATTAATTCAAATTTTCAAACATGTTTGTTTATTTTATGGTCTACATTTCTGCCAGGATTCTGTAGGGTTTTCCCCTCTATTCTTTTAAAAATGATATTCTTCTCAAGAAAGTGAAAGAAAGCACACAATGTTTTTTATATCTCTGCTAAGAAGAAGAGTAGAATAAGTGGAATTTTAGGAAGAAGAGTAGAATAAATGGAATTTTTGTTTTGTGGGATGATTTTAGACTGCCACTTTCTAACCTAAAGGGACTCATGTGATAGAATGTTTAAAGGAAGAAAATATTAGGAAGGAAATTGCATTTTTATTTTTTAATTTGTTGCAGCAAACACATTTTCTCCCTCTAAAACAGCAGATGTGTAGGGAGTTATAAGGGCTTCCCAGGTGGCTCAGGTAAAGAATCCGCTTGCCAATTCAGGAGATACAGGAGATGCAAGTTTGATCCCTGGGTCAAGAAGATTTCCTGGAAGAGAAAATGGCAGCCCTCTCCAGTATTCTTGCCTAAAAATATCCAATAAGCAGAGGAGCCTGACAGGCTATAGTCCCTGGGGTCACAAAGAGTTGGGCACGACTGAGTGCCTAAGTGCACACACACACACACACACAGGGAGTTTATAGGTTTATTTTTTTACATGTGATTAGAGCATATTTGTATTTACCTTGTGAACTACTCTAAATGCATAAAAATGAGTTTTCTACCCAAATGTTACACCTCCCTTTAGGAATCCTGCGGTAGATGTTTTATTTCCCTTGCCTTATGTTTATTATGGTTACTGGGGAATTTTTCTCTATAAAGGTAATGAAAGGATTTCGCAGCCAGGTTGACTGCCCTGGAGGGTATTTGCTTCTAGCTAATTTTAATGATCATATTCTCTTGGTTTCCAAGGTGATTCTTTTAGAAATTTCTACATGATTAAAGCAGAAGCCTCTGGTTTTGAATTAAATGCAGCCAAGGCTGGAACTGTTTTTCCCTGAATTCTTTGTAGTTCGCCAGTGTTATCTGAGATAGGAGAAAGGAATAGATCAGCTGACCAGAATACAAACAGCAGGATTTGGAGGGTTTGAACAATGATTGTCCAGCATCCTGGCCTTGACCATGGTTCCAGTTCATCTTTGAAGAAGGGCATGTTTATCATCTTTCAAGTGTGAAGGGATATCCCCTTAGAACCCTTAAAATCTACCCCATGTAGGACTAGCTACATAATTTTTGGAGGCTAGTGCAGAACTAAAAATGCAGGGCCCCTTGTTCAAAAAGCACAAAAAAAGTGCCATTAAAGGCATAAAAAGAGAAAGCCTTTTCCTTTCTTGTGTAGTTTGTCTCTCTTTTGACCTGTCAAGATTTTTTATTTGGTATTTAATGCCATGCCTCTTAGGCATACTCATGAGGCAAGTGAAAACCGTGACAGATTCCCAGGAACCCCACCCTGTGATTTAGTGCACACACAGCCCACTAGCTGCTGAGTTCTGTCTCTTTCCAGCTCCTGGGCTAACATGTCTATTCTTTTCAGGCCAGAGGGAGAAGTTGATACAGGCCTCTCCCCTTCCCGTAAGCCCACTGTCCCAACCCATAGTGGACAGGGGACCTGCCAGTGTACTGCGTTCTCTGCTCCAAGACATACTAGGTACCGATTGGAGGATTGGAGTGAGCAAGAGGCTCATCCCCACCGAGTCAGCCACTAAGTACCTTGGGATGCTGCTGGCCCAGGGAGCAGGAGGCTGAGACACCGTGGGGTGTGAACACCTAATCCCACTCCTTTGCATGTTCGCACCTAGGGCAGCAGTAGTCAGCAGGAGTGGGCAGGTGAAGCCTGGAGGCCCTGGGGAGCTAGAGGACAGGGAAGTAAGGCACCCAGCCTCATCTGGGGGCAGTGACGGGGCTGTGTTTGAGCCAAGACTCTGAACCCCTGACATAGGCTTCCCTGTCCCAGTGGGCCTCCTATACAAAACACCATCCATAACACAGTTATCAAGAATTTCAGGATGGCAACCATAGAATTTTAAACCCCAAGTGTGAGCCCTTCTGAGTCTGGATTCCTGTGTGAGTTCACTAGTCACATGCCCTGATTGAGCAATTTTCATCTGTGAAATTAGCTGATAAATGTGAACTGCTTCATAGTCTTTGCTGTCTTTCCTGTTGAGGTAACATCTGCATGTCTTTTTCACTCTTTTTTTTTCCCTCTGTAAATCTAAAATTTTATAAATATTTCAGAGAACCTACCTCTGTTGTAAAATAATTGAAAGTATTGGTTTTTGAGCAGACTTGAGTTGTATATTGGAGCATTGGCTCTGCTTATGTCTTTGGACTAAAAGTCAGTTATTAGGTGAGGGAGCTTTTATTTGGGTCAGGAGCTCTCTCCTTTAATTTACATTAAGAGCACCTGTGGAGTTAAATGTAGATTGCTGCATCTTATTTCTCGGAGAAGGCAATGGTACCCCACTCCAGTACTCTTGCCTGGAAAATCCCATGGATGGAGGAGCCTGGTGGGCTGCAGTCCATGGGGTCGCTAAGAGTCGGACACGACTGAGCGACTTCACTTTCACTTTTCACTTTCATTGGAGAAGGAAATGGGAACCCACTCCAGTGTTCTTGCCTGGAGAATCCCAGGGACAGCGGAGCCTGGTGGGCTGCTGTCTGTGGGGTCGCACAGAGTTGGACATGACTGAAGTGACTCAGCAGCAGCAGCAGCAGCAGCATCTTATTTCTAGAGATTATGATTCAGTAGATTTGTGATCGGGCTCAAATATCACCGATTATAAATTGTTAGACTCATTCAAATGAATGGCATGATTATTTTTCTTTAGTGAATATTTTGAGTTCATGTTTCTTAACTGATTATATCCAGAGTTATCTGAATGAGATAGATATGAATTAATCAATCATTTTATCTATTTATTTATATATCTTTCTAGCTTTCGGCATATATCTGTAATTATAACAGCCTCATTTTCTCATCAAAGCAATTATTGAACCATTAAGGGTAAAATATATTTGTCAGCTCTGAAACTAGGTTTTATGATCTAGATAACTATGAGATTATCATATCATAATCTGCTTTTGGTCTGTTTACACTGTATTTTAAAAATTACATGCAGGTTTCTGATTAGTTTTTCCTGATTCTCCTCTTATGCCTATTTCTCTTTTTCTTTTCCATCCTTGTATGTTTGTTTATGGAAATTAACCTGGGTATTTCTGGTATAAAAATATTTATGTAAGTCAGAATTATTAATTTTTTTCCTTGGGAGTCTTAAAAAAGGAAAAGAACTATGGAACAATTATAAAACATGACAATAAAAAATGCACAAAAAAAGAAGGAAAATCTTACAATATTTACTTTTTGGCAAACTAAGAGATATATCTCCAGATTTCAAAATATATATAGAAAGCCTAAATAAAAACAGTTGGGCAGAAGCCAAGAAGGAGGAAGTAAAAAGCTTGAAGTGTGGATAGAGGACCCTGTAGGAACAGATTTCAGGAAAGTCAGCAAAAATGACAGCTCCTAAAGGTAAGACCAAAATTTTATCCACTGTTTGCAACAGTAGGTATAGCAACAAGGCTGGTAGATGCCTTCCTAGGCTTAGTTTAATTCAAAGAGGTGGAAGAACTACACAGAAAACTACCGGTGGATGGCACATTTTCAGGAGGCAGTGTTCTTTGGAGGCAAGGCGTAGGCTACCCACTCCATTAATCTTGGGCTTCCCTGGGGGCTCAGACGGTTAAGAATCCACCTGCAATGCAGGAGACCTGGGTTTGATCCCTGGGTTGGGAAGATCCCCTGAAGAAGGAAATGGCTACCCACTCTAGTATTCTTGCCTGGAGAATTTCATGGATAGAGGAGCCTGGCAGGATACAGTTCTTGGGGTCACAATGAGTCAGACATGCCTGAGCGACTTTCAGTTTCATTTTTCTAAACTACAGAATTACCCTCCCTATACTACCAGCAGCTGGTCAAGAAAATCCAACTCAGTCAATGATAGGTAATAAAGGAGAAACACACAGAATCAAAGACA